TGAACCCTGAACCCTAAACCGTGCGTGGTCAGCGAGCGCCCTGAAGGTTACATCGATGACTTGAGGAGCCTCGGTGGTGCGCATATTCAATCATGAGCTTTTCGAAGTTTTTGGTGAGTTATGTGGGAAGCAAGAGGGCTCTGCAGCGTTAAGGTTTTAGGGTTTAAAGTTTAGGGAGTTTAAGGTCCAGGGCTAGAGGGACGAGATTGTGGGCGCTTTCAGGGATGGTATGGATGCAAGCTGTCAAGTTTGGAATACTCTTTTGTTGTAGGGAGAAAAGACTGCTCTGTCGAGTATGCTTACATATTCTAATTGCAAGTGTTTTTCTACACAGTTTCCAGGGAAACTCTAGAAGTGGACCAGATTCCGCAAGTTTCAAAACAGCTTTCTCGGAGAGTTCCGGCAGCTCCGAAACTCTAAAGTCTCGATCTAAACTCCGACGCTTATGACTTGAGCGTTACATGCTAGAGTACTAGAGCCTACGACCTTCAATCCGCACTGAGCGTCCCAGCAACACAAGACACCCCAAGTTCCAAAACCCTACATGAGCCATAGCCTAAACTCCTTAAAGGGGGTTATATAGGGGATTACATAGGGGACAACAATAGGGGTTATTGAGGGGATACTTTCAGTTTAGGCTATGGCTCACATATGCGTTCCAACAGACATGTGAAGCTCTCCTAAACTGTAACACCAGAGGGGGATTTTCCAAACATTAGCCGTTCAAAGCTGCAAATGGGGAGCTCAAAGGCATTTGCGACATCATAGGGACAACTTTGGGTGGGGGCTTTGTTTGCGATTGGTTTGACACCGCAAACTCTCTAAACTCTAGATCCTAAGCCCCTAAATAGCTAAACCTCAAATCCTGAATTGCTCAAGACGTGTGTACATTGCGTTGATAGCTATACAGTGCAGCTTCCATGTGGCCTATGCAATTCATATATCTGTACATGTATTTTTGGTTCGTTGGTTCTGGTTTTTGATAAGGCCCCAACAGCACCCCCCCAAACCCTAAACCCTAAACCCTAAACCCTACAGCCTAACCTGTAAAACGAGGAACACGACTCGGGAGATCAAGTCCTTCTTTCAGACGGCCGATACGGATCGGTCTGGAACGCTCACGTACGAGGATTAGGGTTTCAGGTTAAGGGTCTGGGGAGAATCAAGGTTGACAATGCATTCCCCGTAAAAGCCCCCCACCCCCCTAAAGATGATTATCCCCGTTATGGTGTATTCTTCTGAACCCTAAGCCCTGTATTACTTTGGGAATCTTCATCATGAGGGGTAGAGGATGACAGGGACAGCTCGGTGACTAAAGAGTCCTGATGATTTGAGTGGGGAGTTTGAGGCGGAGGCTGGTGGTGACCTCAAGGATAGGTATGTGTGATAGTTCAAAGTGCTTATGCTAGAGGGCAGGGTTGGGGCTTAATATTTGGCTTAGAATCTGAGATTTGCCAGCAAAGTCTTAGCAGGGCTCAGCGATTCGTGACTAGGAGTGCAGGTTCTAGTGTTCTTATCAAAAAGGGTCGTATGTCCTCAACACACAGAGACCTACATGTGTTCGAAAGGGTCCTGAAGAGCAAAGAAAACAACTTACCTCAGCAAAAGCTCTCGCCACACGCATACTTCCCAGCTGATACACGACCTTTGCTGCCGGGGTTGGGTTAGGGTTTAAGGTTCAGGGTTCAGGGGTCTGGAGCTGCTATTTGCCTTATTTACTCATGGGGCAGCTAGTCAAAATTTCCCCCCCAAAATAGTAGCCATTTTCTCTAGAACTCCCTCCCCAACAAGCGTTCCACTGGTCTATCCATGGATAGAGCCTTTCGGCCAAGCCTCATGCGCTGTGTCGCCTGCTTGTCCCAGCAACTGAACCCAAGCAGAACCCCTTAGACCCAAACGCTACACGCTAAACAGAAAAAGCCCCAAACCCTAAACCCCCAAACTCCCCCACAACCATAAAACCCTACACCCTAAACAGGGAAATCCCCAAACCTAAACCCCCAAGCCCCCCCAAAACCACAAAACCCTACACCCCTAAACAGGAAAATCCCCCAACACCCTACAGCCACGGCGGATGGCAACTTCAGGCTTTAAGAGTCCTTATGCAACCCTCCAGCCCCGTACTTGAAGGTGTTTTAGGGTTCCAAGTAGGGCTATAGTCCCCCTTAAGTAGAATATAAGGTTTTAGGGGCTACATAGGGATAATGGAAAAGAAAATGGAAAGTACTATACTATAGTAGGATATATATTGGGGTTATAGTTCCCCGTTAGGTAGATAGAATATGGGGTACATGGGGATCTTATGATAGTATCCCCAGAGCCGTATTCTATCTAGTTAAGGGGGAACATAGCTACAGGATCGGATACGAAAGTTCTCAGGAACCTCGTAGTACAGAGTTTTGGGTGTTTATGGCTGCCCATGATCCAGGAGTTCAAGAAGCAGTTGGACGACCCGCTCGTTAAGGCTTCTGAACAGACTGCCACTGCATCATGTGGGCTATATATAGTCTAAACTCCTTTACGAGGGTTATTTAGGGGATTATACAGGAAGTATTATAGGGTTAGTAAGGGGGATGCTAGGAGTCTCATGAGGGTAGTTGTCTGGAATGGAGTTGCCATGGTCCCCAACACAAAGTAAGATCTTCTCCTTCACGTTGTAGTAGTTCATAGGAAGAAGACAACCAGCCAAGCTACTACCAACAGCACCTAGACACCCCAGCCCTGAAACAAAATCCCGAAACCCTAAACGAGCTACTTTGAAGGGACATTAAAGATGGACATAGGAGCCCATGTCCATTGACTACAAAGGGAAACATTGACCGCAGCTCAAATATCCTGGACATCCTTACACGCCCTACATAGTCGTTAAAGCCCACTCATTTGAGCCCGCGCCTTACCCCAGTAGTGGAGGGTCAAATGGAAAATCAAATGGAATCGCATAGTATCTTGATACTCGAAATCTTGCATGGCTTGAATATGCTATAGTCATTAGGCCCCCCCAACCACTCGCAGTGGTATATTAGGAATATATAGAGAACCGAATATGGTTACCATTTTCTCTTGTGGTTATTGTTAGTGGGTGTCCCAGTATTACGGACTATATAGTATCCTGGACTCCAATTATGCTATCTACGGATACTACGGAGTCTACCATATACCCGCTCACTTATTCTTGATCCCCGTACTTACGTTGTTCAGTTGCATAATTTTTACATACTTTTTGGGTTTCTGGGTTCCTAGTATATCACCATGAACCCAAACATTGTATGCTCTTTTCCAAGGGGCTACGGAACCGCTTAGATAATGCTGAACAGCCCTGCTTGTTGGATCGAGACGTTAGATGTTCGCCGCAGAGATCTGCCTCAATTACCTTTTGGCATGGTGGCCTCCTTTTGATTCCTGTGTTTTGCACCCACTTTATTGTTGAGGCCTCTGCGTGGAAGTGATTTTGGAAACTACCACGCGGTAATGATAATACAAAAAATTCCGCCACGCAGGTGGGAGTTTCGCAGCCCTGAACTCTACACCCTAAACCCTAAACCCTAAACCCTACACAATCCAGAAGGAGGGCACCTATCATCACGTTTCAATCCGCTATATCACATATCCCTGGGGTCCCCAGGGGCCTCCTGTGTTGAGAGACTCTATGCCTATGTGTTTTCCCGAAAGATGAGGGATATCCTTATAGACTACTTCCATCCTTTCCACAAGGACTCCCTGAAAGGCTCTTCATTTAGGCAAGCCCTAAACCGTCGTATCTGTCGAAGCTGTTAGGCCACCCTACTCCTACCTAAGCGGAAATGGGAATGTGTTCTATATAATTTATGTAAGGATTATTTTCCCTTATTCCCTACAAAGGACCAGGAAGTATCTCTGAAGCTTACACCCTAAACCCTATATAGTGTTTTCCAGCTTCTTTTCCATTATCTTTATATAATCCGAATATATACCCTGCAGTCCCTATACAAACCCTAAACCCTGGACCCTAAACCCTAAACCCTAAACCCTAAACCCCTAAACCCCCAAACCCCTAAACCCCTAAACCCTTATCTCTGGAGTTTGTTTGCCAGGCGTACTTCTCCGGATTGGACATTGATCCCTCCGAGGCTGCAGCCAACCATTTTCCAGCGGGCTTTTTCAGGTGTCAAGGGTTTAGGGTTTAGGGTTTAGGGTCAAACGGTAGTTTCCCAAAACAAGGGGAACCCCAATCAAGATCCCAAACTACTATGGTCCTTACTATTGGGACCATAATTTTGGGAAACTCCCATATTTTGGAGGCGTAGGAGAAGGAGGACCAAGAGTTCACCGATTACTTCCTGTCAAGCGCTACCAAGTTCATTCTTGTACGTTTCTTGCTGCTTGTTTGTGTTGGTGGCAGGCCTCGATCATCTTTGCGATCCTCGACGCAGATAAGAGCGATGAGCTGAAGATTGACGAGTTTGTGCAACCCGGCTGCGTGAAGCACTGTTAGGGTTTAGGTCTCGTGTGTAGAGGGGCAGAATACTGATATAATAGTAGTCAGATTTTCCACAAGTTCAGTTTCATACAGACGGCGCTGTCAAGAGACTACTGCATGAGATGGTCTTGATAGTATTCGCTTCAGACGTAGTCGCCACCGGTATGCAGAGCACCCATATCTGCAGCAGTATTAGTACATGGGTATGTCTCTTGTCAATGTGGAGTCGTCGTCCCAGACCAACCTCATCAGGCATTCGCGAAGATCATCACAGAATGCTACCTAAAACAGAAAGGCAGATTCCGAAGCCTACACTCCGAAACCCTCAAAACCCTCAGAACCCAAATGTCAAAATGTAGCTGTCAGCCCTGGACCCCTCAACCTGAAGCCATGCCGAAGAAGTTCAAGCTGCAGGAACGGCACCATGAAGCTGAAAGGAGCCGCCACGAAGTTGGATGTCTGAGTCTCAGTTGAGGGTTTAGGGTGTGACAAGACCTCTCCAGGAGTAGGAGAAGGAGGTGGTTCCTCGAAATAGATGTTGCAAGCAAGTGCAAGAAATTTGTGGGGTCCTGATTAGAAGGTCGTCCCTGCAAAATGGGCGCATGATTCTCAGGGAGCCCCCCTGTGACATTTTCTAGTCTCGGGTTACAATGAAGATGCTGATCGAGACCAGAGACCACAGGGTTTCGCGACATGCTTCAGGATAGCAGACGCATACCTTTTCAAAAGTTTTATCGGCCCAAGCCCCGCAATCAATACTGTGATGGCTTTAGACCTGTGAACTCAGGTCATGACTATGATGTTTGACAACACCAAGCAGGCGATGAAGTTCAACAACTTGTGCGAGTTTGCCCGCAGCTAAGCTCTTCTCGCGTCGATGATGACTCGGGTGGCCCATCAGGGCATAGATGGCAAGGTTCATGATTGCATTGTCACGCCCAGCCAAGCCCCATCAATCTAGAAACCTCGTGAGTGCCGCTCACATACTGCCTTCCGACCATCCATGGAAATGCGCAGCGTCAGAATTTGGAACCCAAGCAGGCGTATGAACCAACTCATTTTTTGATAGAACCCTGCACACATGCCAGAACACTAGTGATCAGTCTCTCTAGGGTCCCTTTCTGGGTTCCATGTTCGTTGGGGGAGTCTTCAGTCATGAAGGTAGCTTTTTGCTTGCTTGCCTTGATTTGAGCAGTGAGGTGGAGCAGGAGTTTACCGACATCAGGCACGTCTGTTTGATCATTGGTTTCGTAACCCCGCAAGAGTAGCATGAGAATTTGGGTCAATGGGCAGCCTCGTCACTTTCGTCACTTGCACGCGTCTATGCCTCAGAATCTCTACCCTTGACTTTTGAACCCCAAACTCCTAGACGCTTTCCCAGTTCTGGCTGGTTCTTGGCGGGGGATGGATCAAGAATCCCCACAGTAGCCCGTACAGAATCCCCTTCTATCTTCAAGTTTTCATTCTCTTTTCCATTCTTCCCTGCGCTAGCCGCAACCAGCAACTAAACCCTTCTAGATTCTGGATACTTCGGACGGGTTTTTCTGGGTGAAAGCAGCTTTCTCAAATTTATGGCGTTCCCTCTGTGCATATGAGTGGCGCGTTAAGCAACAGCGCAAGCGCACAGGTCAAAATCTTGCGCGACTCCTACCTGAATTCCTCAAACGGCAAACCCTTCTGACCGCTGTCCCTACACACCTCACACCCTTATATCCTGAACTGATGAGATCCCTCCTTGCCCCTAAGCGAGGGGACTCCGAGTGATGCGGTCTTGTGTTCGCGTTTAAGGCAGACGTTCTAGTCACCGGACCTGCCGGATCAATGCCCATATCGGATTCCGATTTTGCAGTGACAGGGTCTGCTTGGCATGCAGCACTTGTAACAGCAGCTTAATACGTCTATGTGCCCTTCCCTTCTTCAGTGCTAAACGCTTGCCTTACCATTCATCATCAATCCAAGCCTGCGACCCCAAACCCGTAAACACGAAACCGCAGGAGCGAAGTTCTGAGCGTTGAGTTGACGCCTCCCGCACACAGTCAAGCCCAAAAACCTCGCAAAATCTAGAAGGGGACGGAGAACATGTTGGGATCCTTCCCTTCCTAATCAATTCCCAATTCCCTATGTCGAGACTGGAGTTTCCAGATTTCCTGGTCTGGCAGGAAAGGGTTACTCTTGCTCTCGAAGGGTGTCGAAAGTGCGCGTGAGGCCAGTGCAGGTTTTAGGGTTTGTATAAACCCTATATAGCCCATTATGGTAGTTTCCATTTTCTTTTCCAATCCCCTAAAACAACCCTGTATAATCCCCTATAGTCCCTATATAACCCCATTACAGTAGTTTCCATTTCCTTTTCCATTTTTCCACAGTACCCCTATAAAACCCTAAATGCCCTTATATTGAGGGTTGTAGCTGTCGAAAGAAGGGCTCAGGCCCTAGGCCAGAAGCCCCTTCACCCTGAAGAAGAACCAGGGCCCTTGTGGGGATGTGACTCTTTAGGGTTTAGAGTTTAGGGGTTAGGGGTCGGGGTTTAGGGTCCCTAGAGGACGGTTTTTCAATCGCACTTTTTCAAAGCATCATGATTATGTACGGCGTACCAGTTTTTCCAAATCTTCATTAACCCGAGAAGAAGCCTCACATACTGTTGATATTAAGATTCCTGCATGACCTTACTTGACCAAAGCGCCATAGCTCCCAAGGTATAAGGTACTTAGGGCCATGCAGGATCTTCACCATCCACCATAGGTCACCCTGCCAAACTGTTCTCGCTCCCCGTTGCCTGGTATCGCTTAGGGTTCAGGGGCGGTAGGAGGTGCGGTGCAGAGGCCTGCTCTAGACATCCATTCTTAAACTACGGAGCAAGCAGGAAGCAAAATCCCAAACCGTGCGCTTCCCTAAGAAAGAACCCCTTTCTCTCCTGTACTTATATTAACCCCAGCCCAAAACCATAAGACCTGAAACCCTAAAACCCAACTTAAGCCCTAAAAGTAAATCCAAAGCCCTGAACCTCTTAAGCCTCAAAACCTGACAAGCCCGAAAGCAACAAAAAATCAGCGCCTATTTGGGAGTTTCCGAAAATTCGGGGTCCCCTTTTCATGGAGACCCCATCCCAAACCTTAAGCAGGTAACCCTACATCCTAAAACCCAATTTCTCATCCATAAGCCCTAAACCTTAATCCCTACGTCCCAGTTCCAAATCCATAATCCTGAACCCGGAACCCTAAACCGCTGGTGGAAGGAAGCCCATGAAGCTGCCTCCGCAGCGTCTCTGCTACCGCTGTCCCCGACCGCCGTGACCTCTCCGGCCCCTCCAGAAGCTTGGTTTAGTGGGGTTTAGGGTTTAGGATAATGGAAAAGAAAATGGAAACTACAGGGATTATAGGTTTTTATGGGGTTTTATAGGACTTATAGGGTATATATAGGGTTTGGGTCTTAGGTTTTTTGGTTTTCAGAGTTTAGGGTTTAGGGTTTTAGACTTTAGGGTTTTAGGGTTTTGGGTTTTCGAGCAAGGGTTTTAGGGTCTAGGGCAGGGAGTATCTGGGGTGTTCATTAGCGTCTGGCACGCAGGTTTAGCGGTAGATTTTAAGATGAATCTGTTGTCTTTGCTTCCCTCGATCCTTCCAGAAAATCATTTTACACTAACAGACACCCTAAACCCTAAACCCTAAACCTTTGTAAACATCCTCCAACCCTTGGTCAAGTGTGTGTCGGCTACATGGGGGAGATTTTCGGGAAGATGCATAGCGGCTTCTCAAAAAAGACCTACCAGAGGCTTCCTACTGAGGGACCTCTCTGAATTCTTTGGAGAACCTTCAAACATCCCTAGGGTTTCAAAGCGCTGCCCTAGTTTGGGAAATCCCCCATTTCATCTTCGGCATGTCTAAAATAGCGGCTCCTGAACTTGGTTTGCTTTTGTGACTCTACTGTAAGTCCTAAACTCAAAACTCTGAACCCTGAACCCTCAACCCTAAATTGTAAGCTCTGAGGTTTTGAACCATTGAAATCATATTTCCCTGAAATCCTTAGACGCTCAAACCTAAGCCCTGAAGGTCTACCTGTCATGGGCTTGAACCCCGAACTTAGTAAACAATTACATACCCAGGCTACCGAAGCGCAAAGCCCCGAACCCAAACGCCCTAAGACCCTCATCACCCCCCTAGACCCTGGCCCGTATCCCTAAACCCCTAACCTCGATCCCCTAAGTCCTCAATGGATCCATACAGTGGTCCCTATCTAATCCCCGAATACTGATATAGTAGTTTCCATATTTTTTTGCATTACTTCATCCCCTGCTAGCCCGAAACCTTAAACCTGAAATCTTAAACCCCAAACCTTAAACCCTAAACACCCAAACCATCAAGCTCATATAGACTTACCATTACATACGGTTCTCAAATTTCCTGAATCTCAACTCAAACTGACACCCGGCGCAAACCCTAAGTAGTGGTAAAAACATTTAAAGAGACCCTCATAAACCCTAAGCCCTAAACCCTAATCCCTAAACCCTAAACCTTAAACCCTAATCCCTAGGATGCCGCGGCCCCTGCACTGCTGGAGGAGGAGGAGGAGGACCTCGGAGGCAGGCCCACTTCCGCAGGCCGGCAGCTTTTTGAGGGTTTAGGGATTAGGGTTTAGGGTTTCGGGTTTAGGGATCAGGGTTTAAACAGGTTTAGATAGGGTTTAAATAGGTTTTGAATTGGTTTTAGTAGGGTTTAAATAGGGTGTAAACAGGTTTAAATAGGGAAAAATGCAGGGTTTAAATAGTGCTTAAATGGGGTTAAATAGGTTTTGAATAGGGTCTAAAAAAGGGTTTGGATAGGTTTGAATAGGGTTTAAGGTTTAGGGGTTTAGGGATTAGGGCTTATAGGGTTTAGGGTTTAGGATTTAGTGGTAGTTTCCATCGATATGGGGCGCCAAATTAAAGTAGACCCCCCAAAACTATAACCCTTAATGTGCGGACCCCATAAAAGGTATCCCTAAGTTTGGGAAGCCCCCAGTGTTCTGGGTTTAGAGTTTCCCTAAACCCTAAA